ACAACTACCGGCATAGGTGTGACATGGACATTAAACATGATCTTTGTTTTGTCCATGTTCATCTTAAGACCTATCCGTTGGGAAACACTATTGAGGTCATTGAGCATAGTGCTTAGGTCCTCCAGCGATTCTGCCATAAGGACTATATCGTCGGCAAATCGAAGGTGAGTGATGTACTCGCCATTGATGTTGATACCGTATCCTTTCCAGTCCAGAAGCTTGAAAACATCTTCCAATGCAGCGGTAAAGAGTTTCGGGGATATGACGTCACCCTGTCTTACACCTCTCTGCAATTGGATAGGTTTCGTACTCTGGTTCTGTACTCGGATAGCCATCGTAGCCCTACTGTACAAGCACTTCAACACTTCGATATACCGACAGTCAACTTGGCATCGCTGAAGGGACTGCAGCACCGCCCAAATTTCGACGGAATCAAAGGCTTTCTCATAGTCCACATACGCCAGACATAGTGGCAAATTGTACTCCTCGGACTTCTGTACAATTTGCCGAAGGGTATGTATGTGGTCTATGGTGCTAAAGCCTTTTCGGAAACCGGCTTGTTCGGGAGGCTGGAAGTCGTCAAGTCTGCGCGCGAGACGATTTGTAATGACTCTCGAAAACAGCACGTAGACGCGGCTCAGAAGGGAAATCGGTCTGTAGTTCTTCAAGAGAGCGTTGTCGCCTTTCTTGAAGAACAAGACCACCGCACTTCTGCTCCACGCCTCCGGTGTAATGCCACCATGGAGGACGGAATTAAAGAGCTTCTGAAGGACTTCAAGTACCGGTTTTCCACCCGCTTTCAGAAGCTCCGCTGTAATTCCATCCTCGCCTGGGGCCTTGCCGTTTTTAAGGTGCTGGAGAGCCATTCTAATCTCGCTCAGACTGACGTCCGGGATATCATCGGAATAATGTCGGATAAGACTCGCTCTTGGATCGTTACTCACACTTGCGTGCGGCTCCAACGATGACGTGTACAGCTGCCCATAGAACCTCTCAATCTCACTCAAAATCTCAGGTGCCCCGGAAACGATGCTGCCACATTCTGTCTTCAGCTTTGACAGTTGGCGCTTTCTGGCAGACAGATCTCTGGCAAAGACTTTGGAGCCTTGGTTCCGCTCGATCGCTTCTTCAATACGAGCTGTATTGAATTTGCGTAGGTCCCGCCGCATGCATTTGGAGATCTCTCTGTTCAGATGCCTGTATGCTGTTAAATCTGTTGAAGAATGTAGCTTCATCTCCCGTCTAACAGCCATGAGATTAAGAGTGTGATCGGAGAGTTTTTGTGTTCTTCTGCGGCGGGTCTTGCAGAACTTAGCTCCGACCGCATGGACAGTTTCCACGAGCTTGTCGTTCAAATCGTCCACTTCATTGCAGTCTTCTAGGCACTGAAAACGGTTTTGTAACTCGAGCTGAAAGGTTTCGGGACTTTGGATTAGAGCACGAGGGGGACGGAGCGTTGACTTCATTAGACGAGACCTCTCCAACTTAACGTTTAGGTTCAGTGTGCCTCTAACCATTCGGTGATCGCTGCCGGTTTTCACCCTCGCGATCACTGAGACATCACTGAACAGTTGTCGTCTGGTCGTCATAATGAAGTCAATCTCATTTTTTGTCGAACCGTCGGGGCTCGACCAGGTCCACTTCCTGTGGGGCCGCTTCTGGAAGAAAGAGTTCATCATAAAGAGTCCCTCTTTCTCCATGAAGTCGGCCAGCTGCTGGCCCCTTGGGTTCCGTTGCCCTATTCCAAATTTCCCTACTTTCAGCTCACCGTTCTCTCTTGTGCCTAGTTTTGCATTGAAGTCTCCCATTAACACCGTATATTGGATTTTGGAGGAATGCATGGCTCTAGAGATATCCTCATACATTTCCTCCACCTCCTGATCGGGGTGTGCCGAGGTTGGTGCGTAAACCTGTATGACCTTCAGCGAATACCGTTTGGTGATTCTGAGTATAAGGTACGCAACCCTCGTCGACACACTCTCAATCTTTACAACGTTGTTAACGAGAGACTTGTGGACGATAAATCCGACACCTCCTTGGGACAGATGGTCGCCCTCCCGGTAATAGAGCAAGTTGCCGGATTCGAGGATTACCGTGTCCTCCCCCTCTCTTCGGGCTTCGGATAATCCTATAATATGCCAGCGTAACTTGTCTATCTCTTCTTCCAGCTCCACAATCTTCTCGTCAGTCCTCAGGGTGCGTGCGTTGTATGTTGCCAGGTCGAGTCGTCGTAGGTGGCAACCGAACCTCCACCGGAGATTCTTAGCACCCCCTGCCCCGCCGTTACCATGGTCGCCACCGTAGCCAGGAATAGCGGGGCCGCCGGGGACTGGGGGCCGTTTATTATTGTCATTGCTCATGGGGGGTATATTGCCATAGTTGCCACGCTTGGCGAGCGGGTTGGCAACCGCAGTTTTTTTTATTGTTATTTTGGCTATTATCAGGAAGATGCTGCTGCCCATCTCCTGCCTGTTTCCCTTTGTCGCCTTTTACGACACCCACGGGAAGATATGGGGTAGTGGATATTCTTAACCGCCACTACACGGCATAGGTACTGTAATAGGTAGTTGGAATTGGATTTCGTTGAAATTTGCAACCGACACATAAAACTGAAGGTACGCACCTGGAGAACGCCGTCAGCTTCTTTTCTTACTTGAGGTTGACACTCGCGTGGTACACTCCTAGTTTTCTTGCGCGATTTACACTTATTTTATACAATTCACGGCCGTGATTTTAAGCGTATGATAATTAAACAGATATGCGAGTCGCGAGCGTGACACAATATGCTTCCGCGTGCGGGCGTGTTCTTACTTAGACTTCTCCTTCTACCCGATTGTAGATCGCAAGAAGGAATTAGTGGAATTAATGAAGGTATTATAGAGGAAATTTGATTCGTCGATAAGATTGACCAAAACGCGGAATATTTTAATTTGAGAAATGGCGGTAACATTTCCCCCGCCCTTAAAGGGTCGCCTTTAAAAGAAAATAATAATAAGATGCGATAAATACAATTAATACTTACTAAAACTAAGCGAATATAAATATATATATATATATCATCATCATCATCATCACAGCCCTTCACAAGTCCACTGCTGAACATAGGCCTCCCCCAAAGAATGCCACAAAGCACGGTCCTGAGCCACCTGCATCCATCGACTTCCTGCATATCTTACCAGGTCGTCACTCCATCTAGTGGGGGGACGCCCTACACTTCGCCTGCCGGTACGAGGCTGCCACTCGAGAACCTTTCTTCCCCATCGGTTGTCGGCTCTTCGAGCTATATGGCCGGCCCATTGCCACTTCAGCTTACTAATCCGTTGGGCTATGTCAGTCACTCTGGTTCTACTGCGAATATCCTCATTTCTGAGTTTATCACGCAGAGCAACTCCGAGCATAGCCCTCTCCATAGCTCGCTGAGCGACCTTGAGCTTCCTCATCCGGCCAGCAGTGAAGGACCACGTCTCAGTTCCGTATGTCATCACTGGCAACACGCACTGGGTGTACAGTCTCGTTTTAAGGTTTTGAGGTATACCTGACGAGAAGATGTGCCGTAATTTCCCGAACGCTGCCCAACCGAGTTGAATCCATCGATTGACCTCTCGGTCTAAGTTGGACTTACCTAGTCGGACTATTTGTCCCAGGTAAACATACTCGTCAACAACTTCGAGCTTAGTGTTCCCAACAACTACCGGCATAGGTGTGACATGGACATTAAACATGATCTTTGTTTTGTCCATGTTCATCTTAAGACCTATCCGTTGGGAAACACTATTGAGGTCATTGAGCATAGTGCTTAGGTCCTCCAGCGATTCTGCCATAAGGACTATATCGTCGGCAAATCGAAGGTGAGTGATGTACTCGCCATTGATGTTGATACCGTATCCTTTCCAGTCCAGAAGCTTGAAAACATCTTCCAATGCAGCGGTAAAGAGTTTCGGGGATATGACGTCACCCTGTCTTACACCTCTCTGCAATTGGATAGGTTTCGTACTCTGGTTCTGTACTCGAATAGCCATCGTAGCCCTACTGTACAAGCACTTCAACACTTCGATATACCGACAGTCAACTTGGCATCGCTGAAGGGACTGCAGCACCGCCCAAATTTCGACGGAATCAAAGGCTTTCTCATAGTCCACATACGCCAGACATAGTGGCAAATTGTACTCCTCGGACTTCTGTACAATTTGCCGAAGGGTATGTATGTGGTCTATGGTGCTAAAGCCTTTTCGGAAACCGGCTTGTTCGGGAGGCTGGAAGTCGTCAAGTCTGCGCGCGAGACGATTCGTAATGACTCTCGAAAACAGCACGTAGACGCGGCTCAGAAGGAAAATCGGTCTGTAGTTCTTCAAGAGAGCGTTGTCGCCTTTCTTGAAGAACAAGACCACCGCACTTCTGCTCCACGCCTCCGGTGTAATGCTACCATGGAGGACGGAATTAAAGAGCTTCTGAAGGACTTCAAGTACCGGTTTTCCACCCGCTTTCAGAAGCTCCGCTGTAATTCCATCCTGGCCTGGGGCCTTGCCGTTTTTAAGGTGCTGGAGAGCCATTCTAATCTCGCTCAGACTGACGTCCGGGATATCATCGGAATAATGTCGGATAAGACTCGCTCTTGGATCGTTACTCACACTTGCGTGTGGCTCCAACGATGATGTGTACAGCTGCCCATAGAACCTCTCAATCTCACTCAAAATCTCAGGTGCCCCGGAAACGATGCTGCCACATTCGGTCTTCAGCTTTGACAGTTGGCTCTTTCTGGCAGACAGATCTCTGGCAAAGACTTTGGAGCCGTTCCGCTCGATCGCTTCTTCAATACGAGCTGTATTGAAGTTGCGTAAGTCCCGCCGCATGCATTTGGAAATCTGTCCATTCAGTTGCTTGTATGTTGCTATATATATATATATATATATATATATATATATATATATATATATATATATATATATATATATTATATTACATAGATGAAAAGATGTAAGATGTGAGCGATGTAGAGTTTATTATTGTGTTGGTAACGGACACAAGCGCACCACTGGTCGCACGAGTATACCCCTTGCCGTTTTTACTGTAGCGACACGAACTATACCGTCCTTAGACGGGTGAACCTTTACGATCACTCCCAAAGGCCAGGAGAGGGTCGGTGAGTTTTCATTTATAATTATGACAACTGTGCCCACCTTTACGGGGACCGAGCATTGAGTCCATTTACGCCGCGCCTGCAGTTGATGCAGATATTCAGTTCTCCAACGACGCCAAAAGGATTGGACTAATTTATCTAAGAGTGTATGTCGTTGAAGTAAATTAATTGGCGAAGATTCCACATCAGGTGCAGGTAGAGAGCGTAATGGTAACGTATTCAAAAAGTGTGCGGGTGTTAAAGCCGTCGGTTCAGCTGGATCGGAGCTAAGCACAGTGAGAGGACGAGAGTTTAGTAAACATTCTATTTGAGCGAGGATTGTGATTAACTCCTCATACGCAAGGATCTGCTGTCCAATAACCTTAAAAAGATGGTTCTTTACACATTTTACCATACTCTCCCAACAACCACCGAAATGTGGGGCGGCAGGCGCTGTGAACTTGAATTCAATGCGACTTTCGGCCAATTCTTCTTCTAAACGCGGGCGGTATTCCTTTGTGACAAAATTATATAAATCTCGTAGAAAAGATCGAGTGCCTATAAAATTTGTTCCACGATCATAGTAAAGATATTTCACGGGACCCCGTCGCGATAGGAAGCGCTTTAAAGCTGCGATAAAACTCACAGTGAAAAGATCCGTGGCTACTTCTATATGGAGTGCGCGCGTAGTAAGACAAGTAAATATGCATAGGTAAGCTTTGCGAGTTTTAACACCTCGAGCTCGTATAGGCGTATACAATATAGGGCCGCAATAATCACAGCCAGTATGAGCGAACGCTTTCTCCGCTTGCGTGACTCTATGTCCTGGCAGAGCAGACATTAAAGGAAATCGCGGGCGCGGTTTTAATTTAAAGCAAGTGTTACACTTATTAATTTTAGACCGAATAATTCGTCTAGCGGACAAGATCCAAAATCGTTGTCTTAACAAAGACATGAGCAGCTCTGGGCCGGCATGTAAATATTTCTTGTGATAGTAGCCGATCAAAGACTCTACAAGAGCGTCATGACGCGGTAAAATAATCGGAAATTTGTATTCTGAACGAAAATTGCGGAGCGGAGTTGGTAAGGCGGCCACCAACGTGGATGAGGCCATCGCATAAAAATGGCTTAAGCTTCATTAGCGCGGGCGAGCAATTACTGTCTAATGTCGAATGCAAAATGTCTTTTTTGAATATCGCCTATTATCATATGCTCTGCGGCGCTTATATCGAACTCGGTAACTACTATCGAACCGGAACGGGGTAGTTTATTTATAAATCTGCAGACATAAACAAGGATACGCGTGAGTCTACTCCAGGAGGAGATGCGTTTATTAAGATCTTGAACTAAGGACGTTTCTGGATCTGACGTAGTAATGGGGTGTGCGGTTATTTTCTCTTCCGGTACGTTGTCTAGCGCTATAGTATTATGGTCTGTATTAGTGATAGCCCACAGCGAGAGGTCTTGCGCGAGCCAGGACGGACCTTGTGACCATAATGGATGAGATATTAGCCTTTCGGGTGTAAGACCTCTCGATAAACAATCAGCTGGATTATCTATTCCCGCAACGTGATGAAAATTAGCGGGTAAATTGTCAATAATCTTGACGACGCGGTTAGCGACAAAAGTTTGCCAGCGGTGCGGAGAAGAGTTTATCCAACAAAGTGTGACCATTGAGTCTGTGAACGCGTACATATCACTAATATGATAGCGTGAATCGTAGGTGTCATGCACGCGTTTAATTAGTCTTGCCAGTAATTCGGCAGCACAGAGTTCGAGACGTGCAATAGACAAAGGCTTCATTGGTGAGATCTTTGACTTGGCGCAGACGAGTCGCGTCGTAACCTGGCTTGCTTGAGTAATATGGGCGTATACCACTGCTCCATAAGCACGCTCACTAGCATCCGAAAAGCCGACCAGTCGTACAACGCAATGTTCGAAGACCCCCAAATGTCGCGGTATTTTGACGTCATTGAGTAGCGGTAACTCTATACAAAACCTTTTCCAGGTTTCGACTATTTGCTGGGGCGGACAATCGTCCCAATCAAGTTTCAATAGCCACAAATCCTTTATGAGAAGTTTAGCGAAGAGAACAACAGGCGCTACGAAGCCCATTATGTCCCAAATTCTAGCTACAGTGGCTAAAATGATTCGTTTTGAACACCTTTCGTCAAGCTTGGTTACTTTAAATTCAAAACAATCGCGAGATTTATCCCAACTCAAGCCCAAAATTTTAAATTGAGCGGTTTTATCAAATTCAAGAGGTTCAGACATCTTATATGACGAAGGTAGAGCGCTTAAGACCGAGTCGGAATTACATGTCCATTTTACTAAATCGAACTGCGCACCTTTAAATAACTCAATCAGCTCATTAGCAGCTGATGCAGCTTCTTCCTCCGACTTAACACTAAAAACGATATCGTCCATATAGATATAGCGAGAAGCAATTATCTTTGCTAGCCGAAATGAATCTCCATCATCCGCAATGAGTTGCTGAATGACATGGAGCGCGAGATACGGGCTGGACCTAAGTCCAAAACAAAACCCTATTAAATTCATATTCGGTAAGTTCTTATTGCGGGTGAAAACGAGATAACATGCGTTGAAAGCGACGATCGCGCTTATTCATTATAATTTGAAGGAACATCTGTTTACAATCAGCGGAAAGAGCGGTAGCGAAAAGACGAAAATTTAAAATAATTGCAAACAGATCACCTTGTAAATTGAGACCACTATGGAGAATGTCGTTCAGTGAGCGGCCTGAACTCGATTTATGACTCGCGTCGAGAACCATGCGAAGTTTAGTAGTGGTCTTATCTGTACGCAAAACACCGTGGTGTGGTATGACGTAAACGGGATAGCAGTTATCACTGTCAACAAGCGGCGCGGGTGACAGATCGCCCTTTTCTAAATATTCGTGGATAACTGGGTCATACGCGGCCTTAAACTCAGGAGCGGCTTCAAACTTCCTCTCCAACATCAGAAAACGTTTCCGAGCGGTTTCATAAGTATCACCAAGCGAAAATATATCATCTCGGTAAGGCAACGATACTATGTATCTGCCCGTTTCTTTGTCACGTTCAGTGGTTTGGCGAAAGAAATGCTCACACTCTATCTCAGTCGGGGACTGAGTGGGCGGAGTTCTCAAAGGAGATTCATCTATTTGACAAAACCGTTTTACCAACGTATCTAGCGGGTCTTCCTCGGCGTGTGCGGGTAATGTACTACAACACGTCAAGGTTACGTTTTCACGAGCGGGAAGAGCGGGCACAGTGCCCATAATTACGTAACCAAGCATTGTTTGTATAGCTGGTGGTACAGCAGAGTTATCCCTTACTATACCGGGCAATAAAAGTTGCGAAAATAAAGAAGCACCGATCAGAACATCAATCTGTGATGGCTCAAAGAATTTTTCATCGGCCAACGGCAAATCTTGTAAGAACGGCATAGCGGATGCGTTGACAGGCATAGACGGTAAGTCATCTGTTATTCTATCGACGACGAGCGACGAAATATTATATCTTATGTTAGGGTTAAAACGAGAAGTGAACTGGAATGCTACAACTCCCTTTGCGTATTTTTCTGAACCCCCGATACCCTTTACCTTTATGTTGTCTTTATTTACTAATAAACCTAATCTATCACAACATTCCGACGTTATAAAATTGCTCTGTGATGCACTATCTAATAAGCAATGCACACCACGGCTCGTGCCATACGCGTCGGGTACCATAACCGCTGCAGTGGATAGCAGAACCGTAGTGTATACATTGCGTGTAAATAAATCTTCGGATACGCAAGATTGCGTTGATAGCGGTGCGGCAATGGACGTTGTGCACAATGAAACGCTCTTGCTACGCGCATCGGGCGACGACGCGGGAGCAGCTGTTGTCGGTACGATCGCGCGCGTTGTTCCCGATGACTCGGCGGCGGTGGTCACAACGCGAGCATTAGCAGGTTTGAAAGCGTCAAAGTGAAGTAAACTATGATGTTTGCCTTTGCAAATTTTACATTTAGAGTTAGAGCTACAAGTCCCTGCTTTATGTATAACACTCAAACAATTTACGCAAGCGTATCGTTCCTTAGCATATTTATAACGGTCGTTTGCTGTCATTTTACAAAATGCCGGACACTTGTATAAATGATAATGCACAATATCCCTGCACAAACATTTGTATGCATCGGCCATAGCGACATAGGATTGCGGTTGTGGAACTTTTGCGGTGGGTCGGTGATTCGGGTTCGAATTCGAGGTCAAGCTCGAATGATAAGAGCGCTGTAATATATTAACTTGTTCCTTTACATAGTCGGTTAAACTTTTAAAATTAGGAATTTTATCCTTTCGAGAATGAATTTCAAAAGAACGAACTGTTTCGGGGTCTAACTTTTTTAAGGCGGTATGTAATATAATAAAATCAGTTAGGTCAGGTATTTGTAAGTTTTTTAATGCGCTAACCGCGGTTACGAACGTATGTAAAAATAATTCTAAGTTTCGAGCAGAAGAGTTAGAAACTGGTTTAAAGTCAAAAATTTGATTGATATAGGTTGATGCTAGCATGCGTTTATCATCGTACTTCTCTATAAGCGCGTTCAAAATAAGTTCATAATTCTCAGCACAAGGAGTAATACCGGCGAACACAGAATGCGTTTTGATTGTTAATTTACCTAGCAGGTAATACAATTTATCGGCGTCTGATAGAGACGGGTTATCATGCACAGTGGATTTAAAACTTGCATAAAATAAAGACCATGAGCGGATATCACCATCAAACGACGCTAGCTCTATAGGCGGTAAAGACGGTCGCGATATTGTGGCCGATCTCGGACATTCATTTGTTATTCGACTTGTAAGACGAGACACGTTTTATATGACAGTATAGCTCCTCGAACGCAACCCATGACTGATATTCCAACTTTGCTTCTGGGTAGACTTGCATATTATATAAATTGTACTCGGTTAATACCCTTTCGAAATCACTTCGTAATGCATCAATCGAAATCGCTCCAGAAAGGAACTCTTCCCTGTCCACCTCACTATCTACTTGTTGAGAGCGATCATAAATTGTTTGTAAGCGGTTAAATAAAGAATCGCGCCTAGCTATAGCTACGAGTATATTCAATAACATCATTAATTTGGGGTCTGGCGTTTCGGTCCTAGATTCATTCGTTTTTGACGCGCTAGTTTTTGACATTTTTATAATAAATATATATAGGAAATATTAAGGTTATAAGTAAAGTTTTAATTTTAACTGGCGAGCGATGGACAAATACACTAATAATTAAAGCGCCCTAAACACTTAATCTATCGCGGAAATATCAGGTAGAATTATTAAACTGATCTAAATTTCTTCGTGAGCGAGCGGGTATGTAGACATTGTATTATGTATTGCGGTAAGTTATATAATAGCGATAAATATACGGCTTTAAATCAATGTAATAAATATATAATGCGTGTATATATGCGAGAAATTAAGTAAAATATTATAT